TTTGATATTTTACTGTATTACTGTGTAAGGGGACCGTGGTAATGCCTGACACACCAATGTCTAATCTAATTCTAAGGAAAATATCTATAAGAACAGACCTGCCCGTCCCCCTCAAGAAATACCGGGGGAAGCTTGCAGCTAAGGCATACACCCTACGTACAGAACACAAGGTGCAAACACGAATCTACGAGAGGGGAATTAGAGCTATCCTTGAATACAGGGAAAACAGTGACTCTTCTTGTAAGCCAATAGAATTGGATCAAAACTTAAAATACAGCAACGCCCACAGTGTTGCTGGTTCGCGTGTCAATGATTGTTCTGTTGATTTCTGTTTCTTTGAAACTGTGCTATGAACTTGTTTGATTATATAATTGATTGCTTTTTATCACAACCTCGTGTGGGAATCCTGTGGAATCTGTTTATGCTTCTAGGATTGTGATCAGGGCTAGATAAGCAATGGACAGAGGAACCACAATTTTATTCGACAGTAAACCACGATAGCAAACCACGTGTATTTGTTTACAAACAGAGAACACGTGACACCAACCGCATGTTTTGATTTTGAAGGTGAAGGACACACAGCACATGTTTTCTGAACATTTATCACCTCACAAGTATGAACTCTGTTTTAATGTAAGTAAGATTACTGATGATAACTTCCAAAACGTGGCTTACATGTAAGAAACGGTAATGTTCGTTAATTATCCCAGAGCAACTGGCTAACTTCAGTTTTCATTTATGATTAGATTATAAATGCAATGTCTATGTAAGTTCTGCATGAGACAGAAAGTTGAGAAAACCCGAGTTTCATGATGTGTACTTTTTATTTGTGTGGCGGATACGATATCCAGTCAGGAAGCAAACTTCCTATGTACTTGTATAATTTCTTATGTTTGTTTGTTTTTGACAAAATATGCATTTTCCATCTCAGAAAAACAGTGTACAGTTTTGAAAATAGTTGCTATAAGATGTATACAACATTTTATCCTCATGACAAACTCAAAAGGAAAATTTAAGATAGTATCTATAAATTGTAGAGGCTTAAATAATAGTTTCAAAAGGAAACAAGTTTTCAGGTTTTTAAAAAATTAAAAGGCACATATTTATTGCTTGCAAGATGTGCATTTCACAGCTGACCAAGAACAAATCATAAAACAGCAGTGGGGTTATAAAGAATGCTACATTAGTCCATTTAGAAGTAATGCAAGAGGTACAGCAATCTTATTTAATAATACCTTTGAATTTAAGGTACTACAATGCAAGTTTGATAAAGACGATGGTAACTATGTAGCAGTAGATGTTAGCATTGATGATAAGATATTTACTGTAATCAATCTCTATGGGCCTAATTCTGATAAACTGAGTTTATTAGGAAAATAAAAGAAATTGCTGGGAATTTAACATGTGATAAACTTATTATGTGTGGAGATTGGAATTTAGTTTTAGACCCTGATAAAGATACTTACAATTATAAACATATAAATAACCCTAAAGCAAGACAGGAATTACTCAAAACAATTGATATATTAGATCTTAAAGACCCATGGCGAGAGTTTTACCCATCAGCTCGAAGATTCACCTGGCGACAACCAACACCATTAAAGCAAGCTCGTTTAGACTATTTTCTAGTTTCCCATAATATTCTCCAGTCCATTGAGAAAAGTGATATCATACCTAGTATAAACTCAGATCACTCTATAGTATCTCTTACAATTTCACTTTCGGATATGCAAAGGGGAAAAGGATTCTGGAAATTCAATAATTCATTACTAAAGGACAAGGAATATGTAGAAATGATTAAAAAAACAATAAATAACACTCTTGAACAATACGAAGACAAAACTGTTAAAGATGGAAAGATGTTTACAATAAATGATCAATTATTATGTGAGATGTTACTTTTAAATATTAGAGGAACATCAATACTTTTTCATCCACTCGTAAAAAGGAATATCTAGCTTTGGAATCGAATCTAGAACAGAAACTAAGTGAAATTGAGATTAAACTGGGAGACGTAGCTGGTAGACAGTCAGACGTATTACTAGAAGAATACAAATCAACTAAACTTGAATTAGAAAACTTACATAAAGTAAAAACACAAGGCTCCTTTATTAGATCAAAAGCCAAGTGGATAGAACATGGAGAAAAACCATCCAATTACTTTTTAAAATTAGAAAGTAGAAATTTTCTAACTAAATCTATCTCAGCTCTTGAAAAACCAGATGGATCGTTATTGAGGAAACAACATGAAATCATTCAAGAAGTGAAACATTTTTATGAAAAACTGTATGAAACTGAAGACTGTACACAGATTGATCTGGAAAACCTTTTTGCTAAAGTATCAGTGCCTAGGTTAGACTGTCAAACATCACTTTCCTTAGAAGGGGAGCTGACCTATAATGAAGTACTTGAAGCACTAAAAAAATGAAAAATGATAAGAGTCCTGGCCCAGATGGCTTCACAGCAGAATTTTTAAAGTTCTTTTGGTTAGACCTCAATAAATATTTGATAAATGCTTTAAATTATGCATATAAAACAGGGGCCTTATCTACTACCCAAAAACAAGGTCTAATCACTTGCTTGCCTAAAGAAAACAAATCAAAACTCTTTCTAAAAAATTGGCGCCCTATTACTCTTTTAAATACTACTTATAAATTAGCTGCATCGACAATTGCAAATAGAATAAAGCCAATCTTACCACTGATTATCCATGAGGATCAAAAGGGTTTTGTATCGGGTAGATATATAGGTGAAGTGACTAGATTTATTTATGATATATTAGACTATACAGAATCATACCAGATACCAGGCTTACTACTACTTATTGATTTTGAAAAGGCATTTGATTCTGTGGATAGAAAATTTATACATAATGTACTTAACTTTTTCTGCTTTGGGCCCAGTATTCAGAATTGGATAAAATTATTTTTCGAAAACATTGAAACAAGTGTTTTGGTTAATGGTTTTGCAAGCCCCTTCTTTAAGGTTACAAGAGGTTGTCGTCAGGGGGGGATCCTATATCACCATATCTCTTCATATTATGCGCAGAAATCCTAGCAATAATGTTAAGAAATAATAAAAATATAACAGGATTAAAACTTGGTAATATATATTCCCTTCTAGCACAATTTGCAGATGATACCACCCTTAGTTTAGATGGATCAGAAAAAAGTCTCTACTCTACAATGAGTACATTATCCTTTTTTGCTAGATTTTCAGGATTAAAAGTAAACACAGAAAAAAACAAATTGATATGGATAGGTTCCAAAAAGAGATCAAGATACAAACTCTGTAAAGAGTATAAGTTAGACTGGACACAAACACAGTTTAAGCTATTAGGTATTGAATTTGATATTGATTTAGGAAATATGGTTAATCTGAACTATGTAAATAAATTAGATAATATTGAAAAAGAAATGGAACATTGGGCAAAGAGAACTTTAACACCAATGGGTAGAAATATTGTGTTAAAATCATTATTACTACCTAAACTAAACCATTTATTCAGCAGTATACCAAGCCCACCTAAAAATATAATAGAAGCTTTTCAAAAGAAATGTTTTCAGTTTGTTTGGAAATTTAAACCAGATAAAGTCAAGAGAGATACAATGTCACTACAGCCTAAGTATGGTGGCATAAGTGTACCCATATTAGAAAAAGTTATTGCAGCTCAGAAACTTTGTTGGATCAAAAGACTATCTGTTAGTAAGTCCAAATGGGCATGTTTCTTTTATGATCATTTAGTTGAGGCAAAAATAGTAAATTTGGCTGATGCTTTCTACATAGAAAACAATATTGTCCAAAATATCCACAACCAATTTTGGAAAGAAACACTGTCAGTATATGCATCATATTTAAATTGTTGTGATAATATGGAACTATCTGTTACGGATGTATTGAATAAGTCAATCTGGTACAATAATAACATAACAATTGATAATAAGCCAGTATATTTTTCCCATTGGTATGAAAAAGGTATAACATATATTAACGATTTCTTCAACGATACAGGAAATTGGTTTAATTTCCATGAATTTATTCAAAAATATGCTTTGAATACAGACTTTTTTAACATTTCAAGGGTTGAAACAATCTATCGCCCAATACTTACAAAGAATTAACTTTAGTCAAATACAAGACATCTCTCAAACACCAATATTACCTTATAATATTTCTAAAATCAACAGTACCAGTAGTAGATTATTTTATGAAATGTTGCAAAATTCTAAATTTACAAAACTTAAAAGCTATAGCAAATGGGAGCTTTATCTTAATAAACACATTACTGAAACAGAATGGATAAACTATAGTTTGATGGCAAAAAGATGTACACAAAGCAGTGACTTAAGATGGTTTCAGTTTAAGATTTTACATAATATTCTCAGCACTAATTGTTATTTATATAAGATTGGCTATGTTAAGTCACCAGCATGTTCATTGTGTAAAGATCCAGCTGAAACTATAGCACATGTGCTTTGTAATTGCCAATATGCAATAGATATTTGGACAAAATTTACTGAATGGATTGAAGGATACATTGAAAGTAAAATTCATTTAAGTGAAGAACATATATTATTTGGATTTAAAGGTAAACATAATTATCCTCTTAATGTGGTGATAATAATAATCAAATATATGTTGTATAAATGTAGTAAGAAAGCAGTGAAACCTAATTTTATATGGTTTCAAAAAGAAGTATTAAAATATTATGAAATCTCAAAATTTATTGCCTTTTCTAATTGTAACTATGCAAGTTTTCATTCTTTCTGGTCATCCTTCCATTTAATTTTTCCAAATACTACAACTGACTGACTGTAACTACATGTATTTTGTATATATGTGTACTATATATATATAAGAGGTAATGTACACATTATGTGTTTACATCAACACTACTCACTGTACACTTAAAATACTTTCAATTGAACATAAAGCTGCTGTAATGGAAATTGTAACATAAAAATGGAAATAAAAAAAAAAAAAAAAAAAAAAAAAATGTCTAATTCCATTCAAGGCCTTCCCAACTCGTATTGTCGTGTAACCATGATATTCTGTTTGCACAGCTTACATTCATTTGCGAATATGAATAAAACATATAAGTGTCCACTGCATAACTTCCCGATAGCTTTGATGTACGGTGTTTGCAAAAGGGTATACATGCCTTGCCTTTAGCGACGGTACAAGTCATAAACACATGCAAAGGTAAGTCAATTGTTCATTTGAAAATAATAGGAACGTACTATTTCGCCACCTCTACCTTCTATCCAGCTACGTATCTAAAACCTTACGACCTGTTTGAGAGTTCATCTCCATCGGTGATTCTAACGGCCTTAGGTCTTCATACACATTGCTAACAACGTATCTCGTTTCCTCATCTAATCTTGTTAGAAGATGAAAGTCTTCATGTTGATCGGTCTCAGTACTTGTCCGATGCCGACACAGTCTGTGAGCAATAGAAACAGTGACAAGAGCGAGTTGCATATGGCGCAGCTTTGAACAGTAATTCTGTCATATCAAAGCATGTGGTATAACGTGGATGAAGATGAGGAAAACTATAATGATTGTTCTTGTAACCCATGACCGCGTGTGGAGTTTGGATTCTAACCACTGGTCATACGATCCCTATACGCCCTAAGGATTAAGCCTACTAGTGAATATCCCCGCAATATGAACAAAGGCAACGGTACAGTAACCTATTCAACAGGAAGTATAGTCGACACACACTATCCTGAACATAGCTATCTCGAATAACCCCTGGAGCACTTCGGAAAGTTCACCTTCACCCCCAGTACCTCATAATGTTATCAATTCCATGTAAGTCATGTCCTTCTAACGTATTCATCTTGCTACATTCTTACATTTTGGAGGAATCAACGGTCAGCGCCCTCCCACATACACTAAAACAGCTAACAAGCAGTCCTACGGTGAATTTAATCAACAATATAAAGTATAAAGTACCAATTCGTACAGCTTACCTTGTCCTTTTGGAAATCCAAACAAGCGCACAGATAAGCAGAGCTAAACCAAATCCTATCGCCCCTCCAAAGAACCCTGCTTGTGTAGACGAGGAGGATGGGGAAGAGGATTCTGATTCAGTGCCTGCAACTTAATTATATAAGAGTTTATGGACTGATGCTATCGTGTACTGAGCATGATAGTACATGGTTTTGGTTACATGAATTATTCAAAACATGTGACATGTTTATCTTTTAATGCTAAGTCAGGTCCTAGCAGGACATTGAGAGAAAGGAAGCAGTATTTGTCTGGTCTTCATGCCATAGATTTTCCTCGATTCCTTTCAGGGTAAATATTTTCACACTAAATGGAAGAGATTTTTTATGGATGTCAAGTTCTTTATTATGAGGAACACAACGTTTCGGGGTATATCCTTACTCCTTCATCACCATTCACCTGATATACTCCAAAACGTTGTGTTCCTCATAATATAGAAGTTGACATACATAAAAACTGGAACACAACGTTTCGGAGTATATCCTTACTCCTTCATCACCATTCACCTGATATACTCCGAAACGTTGTGTTCCTCATAATATAGAAGTTGACATACATAAAAACTGGAACACAACGTTTCGGAGTATATCCTTACTCCTTCATCACCATTCACCTGATATACTCCGAAACGTTGTGTTCCTCATAATATAGAAGTTGACATACATAAAAACTGGAACACAACGTTTCGGAGTATATCCTTACTCCTTCATCACCATTCACCTGATATACTCCAAAACGTTGTGTTCCTCATAATATAGAAGTTGACATACATAAAAACTTGAACACAACGTTTCGGAGTATATCCTTACTCCTTCATCACCATTCACCTGATATACTCCAAAACGTTGTGTTCCTCATAATATAGAAGTTGACATACATAAAAACTGGAACACAACGTTTCGGGGTATATCCTTACTCCTTCATCACCATTCGCCTGATATACTCCAAAACGTTGTGTTCCTCATAACAAAGAAGTTGACATACATAAAAACTTGAACACAACGTTTCGGAGTATATCCTTACTCCTTCATCACCATTCACCTGATAAACTCCAAAACGTTGTGTTCCTCATAATATAGAAGTTGACATACATAAAAACTGGAACACAACGTTTCGGAGTATATCCTTACTCCTTCATCACCATTCGCCTGATATACTCCAAAACGTTGTGGTCCTCATAATATAGAAGTTGACATACATAAAAACTCTGTTCCGTATGTGTATCACTTCTAAATGCCATTTAATGCTCTGATACATACTAATTAAATTGCGGAGTATATCCTTAATCCTCCATCATCATTCACCTGATATACACCGAAACGTTGTGTTCCTCATAACAAAGAAGTTGACATACATAAAAACTGGAACACAACGCATCGGAGTATATCCTTACTCCTTCATCATTATTCGCCTGATATACTCCAAAACGTTGTGGTCCTCATAATATAGAAGTTGACATACATAAAAACTCTGTTCCGTATGTGTATCACTTCTAAATGCCATTTAATGACCTGATACACACTAATTAAATTTCGGAGTATATCCTTAATCCTCCATCATCATTCACCTGATATACTCCAAAACGTTGTGGTCCTCATAATATAGAAGTTGACATACATAAAAACTCTCTTCCGTATGTGTATCACTGCTAAATGCCATTCAAAGACCTGATACACACTAAATATTCACTGGTCGTGCATTATGAAATATTGGATACAAAAGACGAAGAACATGTGACAGCTGAAAAAGAATGTAGCTCCAACCAATGTCGCTATGACTTGAAGTGCTTGAATCATATAACTGATGTCATTAGCTCGTTTAAAAGAAGATGATTTGTTAAAAAAGCTCCAACAACAGAAACCACCCCACTGTCAGCTTAGGTTATGTTCTGATTAAGGTACAACTACATCCAACGCTTGTATCCCAAATCATTATCCCTTTTAGGTATGGAGCTGTCAATTCATACGACAGTTTCAGGGGGTTATTTGGGGATAGTCCCCAGATGAGTTTAGTTTAGTGACTCTAAAGGGTCTTATCCCTCCAATTGGACGTCGTATGCGCCGATGGACAGCTGCAGTCACAGATGTAAAGCAATATCTTAACCAAACATTAAACCAAATTATCTACTGACAATTGCGTGCCAATACAGATTCCTTTACTTACCTTTAGCATGTGTGAATGCGGACATGGATGGCGTCATAGAGACATCTTGAAACACACCTTCTTGTAAACAATGCCCTGTGGTTGGGTGGCAAGGATGGCCGTTACAGAAACAGAATTCAGCACAGTCAGTTCCATACGTTCCATGAGAGCACCCTGTAGAATAGAAGACAAATGTACATTGTCAGTGAACTGCTAAAGTATGTGTGTGTTTGTTGTTTTACGCCGCATTCGCAGTATGTAAATAATCGTGTCTGAACATACCCTCACGAGCATCGATGTACGCAGTCGCGACAGCATGACGTCATCAACCAAGTCAGTCGCATGAACACACGATTCCGTCAGTCTCACGACAGGTATGGTTAATGAAGATAACCCGGATCTTCCCGTGGGATAGTAGACATGAGCATGGCTTGACTAACATATATCAAGCAAGGCTTGACTAACATATATCAAGCAAGGCTTGACTAACATATATCAAGCAAGGCTTGACTAACATATTTGAGACGACTCCCATTGACAACAAGTATTCCCACAAAACCAAAAATACTTGGGACAAATGTGATACGCACAACGCTTACATGGATATTGGCTACATGTACATTTTTGTCTTTTTGTGCAGTTGGTATTATTAAGACAAAACATCTATTTTCGCGCATCTGATCACACTTACTACCTATCTACATGACAATAAACTAAACGCACTGAGAACATACCGAATGCATCTTTTGTTTTCAGTATTTTAAAGATGACATACCTAGACGCTAGCTAGTTGATGTACAAAAACGTCCTTCGTAAATTGTATATCCTGTGACATCCGTTTTCTTCTTAATAACCGTGGGGTCTCCCTTCAGTGAGCATTATGGATATAAGAACATACACAGCTACTTGCCTATGACTTGTACCTCTGCTAGATCCAGTACGATGTATTTACTATCGCTGTTAATTGTGTTGAGATACACACGAACAAACAGCGCCACACCGGGGCAAGTCACTTCAAGCACATCTGTGTTGTTCCCAGTCAGCGTGTAGCATAACTTGCCCGGGTATTCGTCGCCGGCTGCCGAGGTATACACTTGAAGGCCATTGGGGTTATATGGAGCTAAAGATGAAAAAAGGCTATAAACAGGCATTAATTTAGTGCAATACGCCCGGCTAACCTATAGTTTACCCCGGGGTATAATCTGGTGGGGGGTTATTCTGGGCTGCTACACCGGGTCCTTTACCTTGAAAATCATGTGACCATGAATGTTATTTCAGATTTTGAATAGGATGCATGTTGACGACGCAAATACTTCGAATCATCCTCGGTTCGACACAAACGCAACATGATGGCAAAAAAGGTTACGTAGGGACCACGGCCTCCTTTCACAAAGCACTGAGGTGATCGTAAGTCACTAAGGTAACCTTAGTGCAATGTTTAGTAAAAGTTGCTTCCTGAAAGGAGCCCCATGTCGTAAGTCACTAAGGTAACTTTAGTGCAATGTTAAGGAATGGGAGTTAAGGTTAACCTTAGTAAAGGTTGCTCCATGAAAGAAGCCCAAGGTTGTAAGTCACTAAGGTAACCTTAGTGCTATGTTAAGGAATGGGAGTTAAGGTTAACCTTAGTAAAGGTTGCTTCGTGAAAGGAGCCCCTGACTTCGAGACAAACGTTCGTTCGACTCATCAAAGTTCGACACAACGGTGCTTGACTGTATTTGAGATGCCAGTTTATGGAACTGAAATAACAGACGAAGACAGTAATCATCAAAACAATATCTTACATTTGACAAACAGATTTTTTGGTTTTACTTACATTCTGTATTTAGAAAAACCTTGACTCTGGGTGCATACATTTCGGAATCAAGTTTTATCTTCACCCATGCTGGCTCCGACGAGTTTAGTCTGGTCACAAACCTATTGTGCAAAGCCCCATCCACGGCGACCTTGGGTCCCAGGTACCACTGTTGTTCGGAGCTGGCTTGAACCTTCCTTTGCAGGGCCATGTTGCCTAAGATATAGTACACATGGCGTAGAGAATAGAATTGTAAGAAGTTCAGCTATCAATTTTTGTTATTTTTGATCACTTTTATCGATGTCTTATAGGAAAATCATATTAGGATGAGGATGTTATTTTTCAAAACGCTGAACTATATACTACTCACACTTTGCTAAGGATCAAATCATTGATTCAACAGAAAACTATGATGTGGGGTCAAATTCGGTTTAAATAGCCACGCCAATTGTAAGCATCGATCCAAGTTTTCAGTATGTCACTGCATCTTGTGGATCCCATACCTGCTTTTGACAGGCGTTGTGTACTTGTCAATGACCCGTGCCATTATTGGCAAAATGGTTGGTTGGTGCCATGAAAACCATTTGTATGGTTACTCATGTTTCAAGTGCATAATGTTAGATTAAAGTGGCTGTTTTCATAAAGATGAGTTACCATATCATTATTTATCCAGTTTTAAATGGATACAATTTCAAATTATAAATGTACGTTTCAGTAAAGTGGCGAAATTTTGTGATCCTTAGCAAAGTGTGAGTAGTATATGTGAAAGTTCAAACAAGTACAAGGTTCCCTTCCACATATGAGATTTTCAAAGAGATTTAAAGTTTGAGATACAACAACGTTTAATCAGGAAGTGACGTCACAGGTATTTACTTAATTTATTAGGATCTTCGTCATCACGACATTTGCATTTGATCATTCGTGAAACTGGTACATGTATACTGATACACTTGCCTCACCCAAAACGCTTTTCTATTTAGAAAGAACACTATTTACCGACACATTTTCCTGAAAGTCAAAGAACTCTGAGACAATACCTCGCTGACAAGTAGGCCCGCCCCATCCAGTAGAACATTCACAGCCTTTAGTGTTTTCACAATCAATATCCTCTTGGCAGTTACAGGTATAAGCGCAGTCTTGACCAAACATTCCAATAGGACATGCAACTACAACAGAGGAAACATGTAACACATGTGATTACACTTTCTCAGAAAAGTACAGATTCTAGTACTTTTGTTCGGTTGAGTTCCACCCGGGATTCGAACCCACACTCTCGGAGTCAGGCTGTTACGACGTAAATTGTAATAAAAACGCAAATTGTAATACTTGCAGCAAATTGTAATAAACTTGACGTAAATTGTAATAAAAACGTAAATTGTAATAAAAATTGACGTAAATTGTAATACGCAAATTGTAATAAAAATTGACGTAAATAATTTTCGTTGCGGTAAAATGTAATAAATGTTTACGTAAATTGTAATAACAGTGTTAATCACTCGTAAATACGCGGGTGTTTGTTTTTCGTTGCATTTCATACATCGTTTTTATTACAATTTACGTCGTAACACAGGCGCCTAGTCGCCAGCACGCAAAGTCAGCCGTCTAACCAACTCAGCCAGCGCGGCTTCCACAAAAATGCAAGTCGGACAAGTCAATGTCTAGACCTCGGACTTTGTTCCACATAGGAAACAGCTGCACCTGTGATAGAAGTTGAACAGAAGATGGTCTACAGCCACTGACATGTAGCCGCATGACTATGTGAAAGAAACGGCGTCCTTGTGCAAATCCCCGTTCCACAATTCGCTGTACACATAGTTGCTATCAAATATAATGAAATACCAAACACACTTTTAGATAAGATAAGTCTCCTTGTTTGCATGACGATAAACGGACATGAATGGAATACGCAATCATAATGGAATACAGCAATCATAATCAACGATACACACACTCACTCACTCACTCACTCACACTCACACATATACATACATGCATGGATGCATACATACAAACATACATACAGACAGACATACATACATACAGACAAACAGACAGACAGACAGACAGACAGACAGACAGACATACATACATACATACATACATACATACATACATACATACATACATACAAAATCAACAGACTAATGTAATACTGGTTCAAGTGAATTATTCACTCGAATATGAGAGTAAGAAAATGTAGAGCAACATTCTTGGCGTTTTATGTTTCCGTACACCGACTTAAGTAGGGTGAGCCTGCTAAAGGTCTCCTTATATCTGAGATGGGCGGGGCTAGTTATCAATACTGAGCTGGGTGCCGTTCCACTAGCCGATCTTAGCCCTATGCCAATCGTAAACCCCTAAAATCCCAATCTTAGCGTGACGTTACGATCGGCATACCGTTCCACTAACCAATCTTACCTAAGTCAATCGTAAAGTTAAGATTCAAAGTCTAAGTTGCTCATGACCAACTTAGGATAGCTAAAATCAATCGTAGAGAAACCAAAATGGTGGCTTTCCTATTCTATGTGAAAAATAAGAGCCAGCATTTCACCGTTAGCGTCCCCTAAAATCCCCCATGAAATGAACTTGTATATTTCTGTGATGTAAACAAACACTGCACTGAAGCCTTACAAATGTCAGGCCAGTCTGACCACTGTCGTCATGGGAACACAACCGAGCGAGTCGGTGTAACACATTTGTACAACAATATTGCAACGTCATGGTTAAGAATAGGGACAGCCGTGAAGTGAACAATGTTCTGAAGCAAAAAGATACAAATATGTTTGATTTCACTGCGCATATTTGCTGGGGGATTCTAAAGGCAGGCCGCGTGTTATTCAAGACCACTGACAGATTCTATATAGCCTCCTCACGGCTTGTTTATTCTGATTGACAAGGTTCAGGCACATATTAAAAGCTCTGACACAATTGACATTTTTAAAGTTCAGACTTAAAACCTGTTCTCAGTATATTACTTATAATCTCGGCTGTAAATACTCTCGTGTAAATTATCTGTACATAGCGCTTTGAGCGTGCCCCAGGATGTGGAATAGGCGCACTATAAATATGCATTTATTATTATTATATTATGCCTGATACCCAGCGTTCACACGCACTTGCACCTGAAACCAAGGTGCTCACTACCCTAATATTTTGCTCTAGGTTTTTTCTCCACGTTTACACTTGGTTGGAAAAATACCCATGAAGGACCGGGTTAGAATATTGAACTTCAATAACCCATGCTTGTCATAAGATGCCACTAACGGGATCGGGTGGTCAGGCTCGCTGACTTGGTTGACACATGTCATCGGTTCCCAACTGCGCAGATCGATGCTCATGGTGTTGATCACTGTATTGTCTGGTCCAGACTCGATTATTTATAGCTAAGATACATAGCGTTCACTACGAACGCTATGCATCTTAGCTAGATTATTTACAGACCGCCGCCATATAGCTGGACTATTGCTGAGTGCGGCGTAAATCTAAACTCACTCACTCACTCAGTTGGTTCATAAACTACTTCCATCATTTGCTAGACTATGCAAAGGGAGATAACTCGTGCCTCGCATTCCTCTATCTCTAAGATCGGCCTAAGATCGGTTAGTGGAACGGGTGTAACTTTTAGCTAAGACGATTGTAAAATTGGCGTAACTTGCTAAGATTGATCTTAGATAGATCGGTTAGTGGAACGGCACCCAGAACGATGTAGCCAATTTCGTATTTGCTTTCTGTTATTATTTGTTAATCTTTAATATACATTCTGCGAAGTTATTTTGCTGAAGTATTATATAGCAATTTACTTCAGAATGCATTTGCATTTATGGTGTTATGATCGTAAAGAGGGTGAACACCCTTCCCGTGGATCAGCGGCGCGTATTTATACAGTATAACTTCATCATACCTCGATAATTGCGAAAACAATATTGAAATCAATTCTTAACTTAAAAATGACTTCAAGGTATTGGGTATTATGTTTGATGTAGACCTTGACAAAATGGTGAAACTGAATTACGATGATAAGTTCAAAAAGATAGAGAGAAGGAAATGAAATTATGGTCAATAAGAACACTTACTCCAATCGGTAGAAATGTTGTTTTGAAATCACTACTGCTTGCAAAATTAAACCATTTATTTTCCTCAATTCCATCACCCCCAGATGAAATAATAAATCAATTTCAACAAGCCTGCTTCAAATTTGTATGGAAAAACAAACCAGACAAAATTAAAAGAGACGTTTTAACTATGCCACCTGATTACGGAGGAATTAGTGTCCCACTCATTAGGAATAATATTTATGCACATAAAATAGCATGGATAAAAAAATTATATACCAGTAACTGCAAATGGAAATCATTAGTGGATAACTGTATACCTAACTACGGAAGACTTTGGTTAGCTGATCCTGAATATTTGGAAAAACATATAAAACCATACACAAGAAATCCATTTTGGAGAGATGTAATTTCTGCATGGGGATCATATTTACAAAATCATTATAAGATAATAAACCCAAATGACATGTTAAACCAATGTATTTGGTTTAATTATATGTTTAGCATAGGTAACGAAACAAATTTTATAAACAATTGGTACAATGCAGGAATACACTTTATATATGATCTAATGAACCCAACCACAGGGGAATTCTATACTTACGAAGAACTACAAAAAAATATACCAATTTAAAACAAATATCTTAAGATATTACAGTATTAAATCTTCCATAATTGCCTGCTTAAAGAGAAGACAAATCCTTCTACCTAAAACACTCCCATTCTCACCAATACTACCATTTAATATATCCAAGCTTAATCTAAAGGTCAAAGGCACCAAAACTTTTTACCTTTCTCTACTGGACTCCAATTACAATAAGTCTTATGCTCATAAAAAGTGGGAAAGAGACTTTGAAACACAGTATGATAACACAATGCTACGAAATATATACATGATGGCAAAACGATCCACAAAATGTAGCAATTTGAAATGGTTACAGATGAAGATATTGTATGATATTCTACCCACAAATATTTTCTTAAATAGGATCGGTCTAAAGGACACACCTTTGTGTACATTCTGTTCAAAGGAACTAGAAACAATTGTCCACCTACTCTGTAATTGTTGTCATGTTAAAAAGATTTGGGAGAGTTTGACCAGATGGTTGATGACTGTAACTGAAGGTAATATTGACTTTACACCAGAAAACATCTTACTTGGATTTAAAGGGAAAAACAATAATTCTCTAAATGCAATATGTCTTGTTGTGAAACAGGTAATATACAAACAAAAAATAAAAGAACAAGTTCCAAGTTTCAAACATGTAGTAAGCGAGGTATCAAAATACTATGAAATTACAAAATATAATGCGTACTCTACATGCAGCAACAGTGAGTTTTTTACCTTCTGGTCATCTCTCCGCAATCTATTTACAGAAAATACTAGGTCAGAAAACACATAATAAATGTATTTAATTACTATTATTAGTATTGGAACTACTGAGATAGATATTCAAAGACGTTTATTCATTGTATGAAGGGGATTTGTGAGTGTGTATCGAATATACTTGAAATATTGTATGTGAATATTTGTATGAATATACTTATGTGAATGCATTCTTCATGTACTATGTAAAATGTGGAAATAAAGATTTAAAAAAAAATAAATAAATAAAAAAATTCTTAACTGTTGACACAAATGTTTATTTAATCGATTAATATGTAGTGTTGACAATGCTCTAAAACATAAAATCCAGATGCCAAGGCAAATGTCAATGTTTCTCAGTAGAAGCAACACAAGGGTCTCCCCTTTTCCTCAGTATAATACGAGTAATCACATGCCACATAGATGTTCATTGTACAATACAAATTGCACAAGGAAACATGTACCAATGTACCCCAACGTTTCTCTGACTTGGTGTATTTAGTTCCTAATTAGATATTAAGAGACTTGCTTATACGCATGTCGTCGGAAGACAGGTCATCAGCTTGCAATGTTAACAGTGCACATGAGGGTAGAGCCTTAAAATTTGATGTTCGGGATCTACCCGGATATCATACGTTTCAAAACCGAGTTATAAAAATGAGTGAGGACACGAATCCTACTATTCCTCATTCCTCACAAAAGCAAATGTGTCGTTAGGTAACATGAAATATATTATACATTGTATGTTACATAAAATATATAACCACTGACCGATCTGGGACACAAACAGCGATACGCACACAGATCTGTACAACGCCGCCATGTTGACCTTGCTGAAGTTCCGGGTAAAACACGACAAACAGGATGTAACTTGCATATACGGTGTCATGGATTAATGGTTCACTTTCATTTTGTGTACTCACAATGGTTGTGTGTGGGGTGGTTGGGTGGTGGTGGGTGGTGGTGGTAAGGTGTTGGGGGTATGTTTGTGTGTGGGTTTTTTGTGTGTATGCGTGTGTGGTGTGTGTTTGTCTGTGTCTCTGTGTATCTCTCTCTATCTCTCTCACTCTCTCTCTCTCTCTCTCTCTCTCCCTCTCTCTCTTTCTCTCTTTCTCGCTTTTCTCTCTCTCTCTCTCTGTGTATGCGTGTGTGGTGTGTGTTTGTCTGTGTCTCTGTGTATCTCTCTCTCTCTCTCTCTCTCTCTCTCTCTCTCTCTCTCTCTCTCTCTGTGTGTGTGTGTGTGTGTGTGGAACACACTTTTGTTTTGTATTCCTGCTTGTCTCCGTTGTACTTCCTCATTTGAAGGCTGACTAGATCTGCACCCATGGCTTCTTCCCTCACCCAACCTACGTGTATGTTGGCCTCGTATCGCCCCAGCGAGCCGGGATTTCTTTTCACCGGTTTGGTTTAACGTTGCTGTCACCAGGATTTCAATAATGATTATACCACGGTGTGTGTCGCATTCACACTAGGGGAAAGCCAGACGGAATGCGGCTCGACGACAGTTATCTCTTTGTTGAAATCTTCAAACACGTGTACAGTGCTTTTGAACACCAGGTTAATCTGTCTTTCATTTCTCGACTTAGTCGCATGATATGATTCATTTTGTGTAGTCATCTGGAGTGCTTTACACCAGTGGTTGTTATAGCGACCGATTCTGGACAATGATTGAACTTTTAATTTCAAGCGGTCCTGAGAAAGTAGCCGTCACAAATGTTTTCATTACGTAATTGATTGAGTTTAGTTTTACGACGCACTCAGCAATGTTACAGCCCGCTAAATGGCGGCTCATTACTTAACTATCACTAAGTATATGCCGCTAGTCTGACTGTTAATCCCCAACCATGCGCAGCCATGTCACTCGTTAAGGGACCGTTCATAATGTATGGCTAGGGGGTGCGGGGTTGGGGTGATGATGATTTTATGGAGAAGCATGTACAAGGTGAATCCCCCCCCCCCCCTCTAAACTTTATGTACAAAGTAAGTGACCTCCCCTGCATGTCATGTACAAAATTAATGACCCACACCCTTCCCATATTTTTTAAGCATAATATTTCAATATTGTAATGCACAAATTTGATGACCCCCTTGTACATGTGTACAAAATTGATGACCCCCCAACCCCCAGCCATAAATTATGAACGGTCCCAAATCATTGTTATATATATTTATCACTATGACTTAATCCATATCACACTTTCGGTGGGGTAGCCTTGTGGTTAAAGCGTTCGCTCGTCACGCCGGGTTCGATTCCCCGCATGGGTAGAATGTGTGAAGCCCATTTCTGGTGTCCCCCGCCGTGATATTGCTGGAATATTGTTCAAAGCGGCGAAAGACTAAACTCTTTCACTCACTTACATATGCCTTGGTCCAAAGACGAACTCCACCGTTCGCGAAGTACGCAGCATGTCGGGAAGCGCACGTTAAATCCCTCAATATAATATAGAAATGACGGAAAACAACAAACCCAGCTTGTGTTTGGCAAGTGCTCAGGGTACAAACACCACCACTACTGATACTATGAGCTTACCTGGCACATAATGCATCTTCCTTTTATCTACTGCATCAGACAGTTTTGAAAGAAACACCAAATACTTGTCCAGTAGTAACGGTTAAAGTGCATACTTTGTGTATCAGTCCGTGAATACGTTAACAGACATGCACATGGAGATTGAGAATAAGGGCATATTTGAGATATATTTTTTGTATATAAAAACTGTTAATATGCGTCTCAATGGACATAAACGTTGAAATCCAACAGTTACTATCTCCATCTGTCCCACTGTGCATCTTGCGTCATATCACCTAGCTGGTTTGTACCAACGACGCATTTGCAGCCTTTTGGAAGTCACAATACTTCCATATTCCTGTTTCTCTAGCTCATGATACAGTTTCATATTATGTTAAGTTCACGTTCTTTTTATTGGGAACAAATATTTCAGTGCAATAACAGTTCAGGATATTTTTTATAATGTTAATTTTAGTTTAATTATTGCATTTTTAAAAGAAATAGAGTTATTAGATAAATTGTGTGTATATAGATAAATCTTTTATGTTTGGTAGTTTAGATAAACAACTGATATTGTTAGTGGCTGTATCATCAAAGGGGGTTAAAGTACTGTAAAATCATTGTCCTCCTGCGAGGATACGTAAGTCCCAAAACAGTTCAAGTAAATTTAAACTTACTATGGTTTTTAACTGCAGTATATATGTTATTTTAATGTTATGGCTAGATTGTTAAAATTGCTGACAGCTGAAGGGATGGTGTAAATCCAGCTGGGGTCCGTGTAGGTAGCAAAAGTAATGTAAGTCCCCATGGACCCTAGTATGGTGATCTACTTTCGGTTGTTGGCAATCTATAGCCGGTGTTTATATTGTATTGTCATGTATAGTTAAAATGTTTTATATTATATTACTGGTTTTACATTTATATCTGTGATATTCTAGTTGTTTTAGTGTCCTTCGTTGGCAGGTTTTTATACTTTACCTATAATTATTATTAATATACTCTCCCCAAAAGGAAACGCATCATGAAAATAGCAATTTCATGTAGCAATGAATTAAAACGTGATTCATTTTACAAAAGGTTTTGCTCTATTTATGAGTCCTATGGTGTTTATGTTTTGAAACATCACAACAAAACGCACCACCCGTAAAATACCCGTATTTAACAGCATGATTTTCAATTTCGGCGTGTAGTGTCACAGAATACACAATTCACATGCAATGCACGTGAAAGTTGGGGGTCAGATAGTCTCGATGATGGGTATAAAAGGTTGATCGCTGTCTGTCGATTATTCACTGTATTTGGAATATTGTTGACGAACGCAAAATGCCACGTCTAAGTGAAGCCAACCGTCATATCGCCATTGGTTTACTTGAAGCTGGCCAGTCTCAACGTGCAGTTGCCCGACGCATGAATGTTCACCAAAGCACCATTTCACGGCTCTGGGAGAGATATCGCCGGCAGAATGCGGTAGCAGATGCCCCTCGTTGTGGGCGACCTCGAGCGACCACTGCGGCGCAGGATCGCTACATCCGGGTACATCACCTGCGTCATCGAACAGCTACGGCGACCAGTACCGCTCGACAAATACCCGGATTGAGGAGGCTTTCTGCACAGACCGTCAGGAACAGGTTGAGAGAGGCTGGTTTACGTGCCAGAACACCTTATTTTGGCCCTGTGCTTCGACAACAACATCGTCGACATCGAGTTCAATGGTGCACCAACGTTCAGGCCTGGAACCTACCGAATTGGCGTAGAATCTGGTTCAGTGATGAATTACGATTTCTATTGGAACGACGCTTGCGTTCCCCAGGTGGACAGATTCGGCCGGGGAGTGTTAGGATGTGGGGAGCGATCACCTACCGTAGGAGAAGTGATTTAGTGATGATCCAGGGCAACCTGACAGCTCAACGGTACTGTGACGAAATCCTACGCCCACATCTCCTTGAAATCATTGATTGGAGGGAGTTGTTTCAACAGGACAATGCCAGGCCCCACACAGCCTCCAGAACCACAACATCAATGTGCTCCCCTGGCCCTCAAGATCACTGTACTTAAACCCGATCTAACATCTGTGGGATGCCCTGGACAGACGGGTGCGACGCCGTAACCCTCAGCCCAAGACACATCAGCAACTCGCTCAGGCACTACAGGCAGAGTGGGCTGCGATTGGGCAACACGAGATTCTGAGACTTATTCGTTCGATGCCGAGGCGATGCCGTGCAGTTCTGGATGCCCACGGTGGTCACACGAGGTATTGACTTCAGCGCCACCTCACGTCTCCATGTGACACTCAAACTGACTTTCCTCGAGTTGGTGCCAAAGACGGATAAGTCTGCATTCCCAGTATGCAATTTCGCTATATTTCATTGACTCATAAAGCCTACAAGATGTTTCAAAATAAACATAAAAATACAGTTGAAATTCCTATATGCGTATCTTTTTTTGGGAGAGTATATATAACTTGATATAGTCACGATATGCCTGAAATACTGTCGATGTGACTTACAATCTTAACTCACTCACTCACTCTTTTTATTGGAATTGTGATAGTTTAGGTATCAAATGTACTTGTTATAATAAAATGAAAATATGGGTTATTGAGTATCATTAGCTTTATAGCTTCAGAGTGTCAACCGTCAACTACAATACTATATCCACATACACACGCACGCACGGACGCACGGGCGCACGCACACTCAAAACCATAAGTGTCTTGCAAAATGCATGGGCTCTTTTATTAGACATTACGCGCGTGATATTGTCTTTGTATATGAGGCTTATACGATGGTAATATTAATTTATTTATTATATTATAAGTAATACCATCGCAATACTGGTGCAATAGTGCATCAATAGTATGGTAAATATTCATGCCCACCCAGAGTGTAGACTTCCTTGTAACATTCAACATAAATATCGCCACTGTATCTTAACGTCAGTATATCTTTATTAGGATTAGTATCTGATATGGATGCATTAGCAGTTTCTAAAAGGATACTCACAATGAAATTTAAATAAAATTAGTTACAACTTTAATGAGTAACATTCTTTCATTTTGTTTTATCTGTGAATAGAAACATCAGTATTGTCATTATTAACGATATTTTGCCACTGGAAAATGGGCATTTTTAAAGAAAATTCACATTTTAGATACTAATCGTGTTCACCCCTTGATATATATCTCCAATAGTGTTGACGCTGTGGAAAGTTTAAAGGGATTGATAAGAGTATATAAACACTATTACCTCACCTACATGTGAGGATATTCATAGTAGGAGCGGGCTAGTAGTATACTCAAAATTCAAAACGTTGCATGTTTTATGTTGTTAAGAGATT